GAGAGAGAGAGAGAGAGAGAAGAGGAAGCAGGCTCCCTGCCTAGCAGAGAGCCCGATGTGGGACTCGATCCCAAGACCCTGAGATCATGACCTGAGCTGAAGGCAGAGGCTTTAACCCACTGAGCCACCCAGGCAGCCCCAACAGTGGTATTTTTAACTGACTTGTAGCAGCACAAATTAATCAATTACTAGTCTTTTCCTTGAGCATCTCTTTTTATCAGTCAGATTAGATTCAGCTGCATGTAACAGAAAACTAAAAAATGATTACATGACTTCAGTAAAAAATGTGCATATCCCCTTTCATGTGAAAGAAGTCTAAGGTGGGCCATTCATGGAAGCTCTTCAATCATTTCGGACCTAGGCTCCTTCTATCTTTCTATCTATCTATCTAACACTGTCTTTAGTTGTCAGTCTGAGATCCAAGATGCTGCCTGCATTTCAAACAAACATTATATCCACTTCTGGTCAACAGGAAATAAAAAGGGCAGGGAAACAAGGCATGTTCTCTCCTGCCACATGGCCTCCCTAACCAAAAGCTCTGGCAAAGGTGCTATTCATTGCAGATACATGAAGGCAGATAAAAAATTAGGGGTTCTATTATTACAGATAGTAACCGATATTGGGGTGGGAGCTATTAGTAATTCTGTCTGCCACTCTCTGCTCTATTGTATTACTCTTCTTTTTGTCCCTCTTTACATGCTTCATTCCACAAGCAGAGGCCTAAGAGATAAAAGAGATAAAGAAGAAAAACACAGCATTTGAGAATAGAGGTAAAATTCTTTGTTCTACTTTTTACTTCTTTAAACAACCATCTCCCCAAAGTTATTAGGATGTGATGTACAGACAAAAAGTGAGAAAGGATTAGGAGACTTATTTCTCAGTGTCACTGTGAAAGCTGATTAAGTCCTTACAAAGGGCTTTAAAGTCTTGGATTCATTTTGTTGTTTTTTTGGTTTTAACATTTTATTTGTTTGAGAGAGAGAGCATGAGCAGGGTGGAGGGGCGGGGAAAAGAGGGAAGCAGACTCTCCACTGAACAGGGAGCTTGATGCAGGGCTCCATCCCAGGACCCAGGATCATGACCTGAGCTGAAGGCAGACGCTTAACCAACTGAGCCACTCAGGCACCCTGGGATCTTGGATTTCCTATGCTGTATTCAAAGTCTTATTAGATAAGCATGTAAGTCAATGGGATTTTCTTAATTGGCAGGGGAGGAAAGATACACAAAAAGAACTATGGGGAAATTAGACAACACCCTGATGGATGATCAAAATTATCATCACCAATGAAGGAGAGACGGACCCTGTGTGCCTGCCTATAAATGTGATATCCTAGGGATACAACTGAGGACAAGTACCAGAATGTAATCAAGAGGAAACATCAGGCAAGCCCAAAACAAGGATGAGGATGAGGAACAATATATTAAACAAAAGGTGGTAAGACTGCCAGTATTATAAAAGACAAATGCTGAGAATTGTTCTGGAGTAAAGGAGACTAAGGAGCTCTGACTAAAAAATAAAGTCCATAATTCTAGACAGAATCCTGTACAGGAAAGGGGAAAAAAAATACAAGGACAATGTTGGATCAATGGATAAAAATGAAATATGGTTGGCAGATTAAATTATTAAGTCAAGGTTATATCTTCTAGGCTTGATAACTAAACCATGGTTATGTAAGAATTGTGTTTATTCTTAGGAAATACCTACTTAAGTATTATGGTAAAAGGTATGATATAAGCAACTTACTCTCAAATGGTTCAGGAAAAATACAGACATACATATATATAGTGAGAGGGAGGGAGAGGCAGAAAACATGAATGTAAATACTCTAGCGAACTGAGTGAAATGCCAATAACTAACAACAGCTGATTGTGGTCAAAGGGTACATAAATGTTCTTTGTACAGCATTTGCCAACTTTTCATTAGGTCTGAAACCCACACCAACCCCCACCAAAGCCTGAAGAGTAAGGACGATAAGCAGCATTCACATTATCTTACTCCGGCACATGCCTGATGAACTATTTCAGATGCTGTATTGATTCTATGCCAGAAAATCTAACCCTTAAGCTTTCAATTGGGAGGGAAAGAAATGACCCCAATTAGCTAACATTTATCCAGGACACTTCTATCAGAAAAATCTAAGGCAGGCCAGGCTTTTTTCTTTTGTTCACTAAATATATCTAGGAGCCTAAAAGATACCATCTGACTGAAGCTATTTAATTGGGACAAACACATAATCACCACTGGACTTTTTCCATACAGGATGACCAAATTAGCCTGTGGTTCTATGCAAGGATCCCATTTCTCGTGCAGCTGGGAATCAAGGGGACTGGCATCCTGACAAACCAGTAAAGCCGAGGCAGTGGAAATGACGTTAGCTTGGACTTCAGCTGCATTCCCACTGACTCTGGATCTGCCCACAGAAAAGGAAGCAAGTACGTTAGCCCACATCTACACGAACTTTGATTCTTGAGATCTAGGAGCATTCTTGTTTGTACTACACAAATTCTCACATGACAGTTGGCATTTTATAATTAAAACCAGATCTTTAAAGACATAGATTAAGAGCAGTAAGTCTGTATTCTTCACAGCCTCTTAGAAAGGAAAGGTCTTATAATCATAAATTGTAAACAATTTGACTTAGAAGTTAGTAAGACTATTTATTCCTACTATGTTCATTGTGAAGTATGCTCAACTTTTAAATCATTGTCTTGTTGTTCTAAAACTATGTAAAATACTTTATTCAAAGAAAAATGTTTCTGGGAGCCTGGCTAGCTCAGTGGAGCATGAGACTCTTGATCTTGGGGTTGTCAATTTGAGCCCCATAGTGGGTGTGGATATTACTTAAAAACAAAAACAAAATCCTTATTTATTATTTATTTATTTAAGATCGAGAGAAAGAGAGCGAGAACAAGCCAGGGAAAGGGGCCAAAGCAGAGGGAGAAGCAGGCTCCCTGCTGGGCAAAAAACCCCTATATGGGCTCAATCCCAGGACCCCAGGATCATGCCCTGAGGTGAAGGCAGACATTTAACTGACAGAACCATCCAGATACCCCAAAAACAAAATCTTTAAAGAAAAAAAAAAAAAAAGAAATGTCTCTGGAATGGACAGTCAACCTTAAAAACATACTTTGGAAAAAGCTTCCTTTTAGGAAGACCTGGGTTATTCCTAACTAAGTACCTTAAGTATTTTAAAAAACAAAATAGCTATCTGTGAGCTTTCTGTGTATATACAAAAGACACCTTCTGCAGCTTGAGCCTGACAGAGCCATGTGAACCAGAAACTTGCTGAGTCACATGTAAACTCAGTTGGCAAGGTTTCCCTCATCTTAAGTCTGCGAAGATTTTAATAACAAATCTGAGTCCTAAAAATCAGATATATAAATTATCAATTTCTGGTAAGTCCTCTTTAAAACATGTAACAATGAGAAACTAAAAGGCAGTAAGTAGTCCTAGCAAAGACTCAGATGAGGACATCAACTCAGCTTTTACAGAAGCAGAGCGTAAAATCATCTTTCAGGATCTCTATTTCTAGTCTCTTGTTTACCTAGATAAGGTTGTTTATTTGCCTAAATTAGTTTTTCTTCAAGTTTCTAGGGAAAAAAGCTACCCACCTTTTGCCATTTAAATTTCTAGCAGCAAATATATAAAAAAAAATATAGACACACACATACATCCAGTATTACATTTCAGAGTAGAAGAGATCCCAAGAGATTGCCAAACCCACTACTAATCAAAACTTCCCAGGGGGCTTCCCCAAAATACCAATTTCCTAAGACTCACCCCAGATCTATTCAATCAAAATCTGGAGTCTTTATTTTTAAAAAGATCCCCCATGATTCTAATCATCAGCCAGGTAGGTCTTAACTGCTGGTTTAGGGCACCCTCTGCCATAACATCACTGTAACAATAATGTCAGATAGCAAAGACAGTTTTGTTTTATAAGTAATGATTCAAAATCCAAAAGATACAAAAAGGTGATAAGCCTTTCTCATTTACCCCTGTCCCATTTACTCTTCACAAGCAACCAGTATTACCAGCTGCTTAGATCCTTTATGCATACACAGGAACATATAGATATTTCCTCTAAGTAATGACAGCGGCGAACAATTCCTTTTGAACAAATCAAGGTTCAGTACAATGTGTGTTCTGGAGATCCTTCCCCATCAATACAAAGAGCTTCTTTATTTTGTTTTCACCTGCCTGGCATATGCCATTTTGTAGATGTATCGTACTTGATAAATCAGTCCCCCTTCATTGGACGTCTTATGTTATTGGACGTCTTTTGCTGCAATGCATAGTCTTGTACAGACAGCATCTTGTACATGTGCAAGTCTATCTGTCTGATAAATTCTGGGACATGGAAATGTTAAATCAAAGGTACTGTAATTCTGATAGATATTACTAAATTGCCCTCCTCAAAGATTCTAACATTTTTCACTCCCATCTGCAAGGTGAAATAGCCTGGGTTATACACTGAGCAGAATATAAACAGTGTGAGGGGCTTACTTTCTACATGCTTCTCTGAAAACATCCCACTATTATAGCCCAATGATATAACAAATGACATTCTGAAGACAACTTCTGTATCATGGAAATCTGCCTACGTTACTATTAGAAAGTTTTCTGATTATTGAAGCCCAAGAAAAAGAGGAACTAAGACAAAGGAGAAGCTGAGGTTAAGGCAATGCTTGCCATCCTTAGCTGACATACAGAGCCTGGAAAGTCGTTTTCCTTACTTTGGCATAAATGATTTAAAATTTTCCACTTATTACACCAAATGCTGTTCATGTGAAAAAGTAACCGATTGTGCTGTTTATTGTTTTTTTTTTTTTAAAGATTTTATTTATTTATTTGTCAGAGAGAGAGAGAGTGAGCACAGGCAGAGAGAGTGGCAGGCAGATTGGTAGGCAGAGGCAGAGGGAGAAGCAGGCTCCCTGCTGAGCAAGGAGCCTGATGTGGGACTCGATCCCAGGACACTGGGATCATGACCTGAGCCGAAGGCAGCTGCTTAACCAACTGAGCCACCCAGGCGTCCCCTGTTTATTGTTTTAACCAACAAAAAGTTGATACTTTTAATCTACAAGTGTTAGGTTTACCAGGTCTTGCACAAAAGAACTTTTCTAAATAAAGGCAGGGTGTCCAAAGGGACTCACTATAGCTGAGGAAAAAGAATGTCATGCAGAGGGCATCCTGCAGAGAGAACGAGCTAGAGAAACACAACCAGAATACTTCATCTCTTTTATAATGCACAAGGACTACAGAGGGGAGAAAAAAGGGAACAGGTTTTTAACTAAAACAGCTGACAATTTTATTTTCACATTTCACGATACAAATGAAAATTACTTTTTTTTGTCCCACTACTCCCCTGCAAAAACTATTCTCTCTTTGATAGGAAGGGCAGCAAGTCTTCCTTGTCCTGCTGTGAGAAAACACCCAGAGTCACAGCACCACGATCTCCTGGTGAAGTAGAACAAGTAATATAAAATGAGTACAAAGAGGTTCCCGTCTCTCCTTATCTGTCCGGTCGAGTCATTCCTGGCCGAGTGGGCACCATCATGGGACGGGCAGGAGGTCTCATCATTGGGGGCCCAGGCATCATTGGCATGTGGCCTCCCATAGGTGGCCTCATTCCAGGAGCTGCAGGACAAAAGAAAGAAAAGGAAAAAAGAGAGTCAGAAAATACTATTTATGAGCGAGCTTGATGGGACTTCAATTAAAGACAAAAAAGTAGCCCCCCCCCTGCAAAATGCTGGAAGAAAGACATACTTGACAGAAGAAATGCAACAAATTCATCACATCTGTAAATTAGACATTCTCAAACAAAGAACAAAGGTCAACACAAGAACCGTATGGGAATCATGATCTAATGATAGTAAGGGGGAAACTATTAATAGACTGGTTTCCAGAAACCACCAGGGACACTAGTTCCCTAAATTGACCTTTTCTAACTCAGGGAAATTCACAACTAAATTACATGTTACTCAGTCAGCATTTTTAATCAGTTCTACCCACCATATAACCAGGAGCTATTTCATGAATGTACACAGGCACAGAGGACAATCTTACCACTAAGCGTTTGTTCGGAGTTGTAGGAAAGGTGAGCAGGAGGCCCATGCTGAGAACCTGTTAGTAACCATACTTAGCTCAAGTCAAGAAAAATAGGCAATAATGTGATTTACAACAATTAGTGCACACACGAAAATCTGATTTTTCTAATGCATGTTAGAAACTGTTAAGGAATTTTTTGCAGCGTCCCATCAATATACCAGCCAAGTGAATGAGCCAGGGCAGGGAGAGCAAGCGAAGGTAGGGGTTGAGGAGGAAGATTATAGGCAGCTTCACAAAATTGAGAATATTCTACCTCCTCAGCTGAGTGGTGGGTTCACGGGTATTCATTTTATTATTATGCCTCATAATTTTCAGGTCTTCTTTTTAAATATAAAAATTGACATAATTACTTATTAAACCATTTTGATTAACGGCTTGAGATAAATGGTTCAAGAGAAAACTATATTCAAAGCCAAATACAGCCTTTTCACAAGAAGTAAAACACAAGTATATGAAAAGACACAACAGGTACAGAATTTTTCAATTTTCAACAAGAACAGAGAATAATACTAAACTTCTAAGTATCTTATTAAAAAACCCCACCATAACATAACCTATATTCAGCATTTCCTAGAGGAAATTCATCTGGACCAAAGACTGAAAACGAGGCATCTGAAAAGTTGTTTACTTTAGTCTCCACAGTACATTTAACTGTAATTAGTTGCCAAAAGTGGCAACTAAGAGTCTAATTACTAGTAAGTAGTAAGTCTAGATTCCTTTTTTTAACTTTTTATTATGGAAATGTTCAAACATACACAAGAATAGAAAAAAAAAGAGGATAAAAAACATCCATGTACCCATCATCCAGCTTCAGTATTTATTCATCCCTGGCCAACCTTCTATCTTATTCCAACCTGTTCTTAACCCTGCCCACCCCCAACTACTTAAATTATTTTAATTCAGATAATCGCATTACTGTCTTGGCTGAAAACAACAAAATACTCAGGAGAACTGGCAACACCAAACCTGAATTATCAAATGTCAACAGCAGGCTGAAGCTGAGTTCTAGAAGCCTTCTTTAGGTGTTTCATGCATTCACCAGTTCACCACATCCCTAACCCCTCTAAGAATTTGAATTTGTGACCCTGATTTAAAAATGCAAAAGAAGCCATGTAAGTCACTTTGTTTTGGGTCAGAAGCCAGTAAGGCAGAAAATCTTATCTAGACTCTCCTCACATCCCTCTAAATGATACCCACAGCGAGCACACTGAATGTTTCTGGCTAGGAAGCTACTCTAATACCTTTTTGTACCTTGTCTTACCAGCTGAGCTGGAGGTTTCTTATGGTCATTGTATTTACTCTAATTACATAATTTGTTTTGCAAATCAATAAAATGAATATAAAAAAGGAACTGTTTGGGGCACCTGGGTGGTTCAGTTGGTTAAACAGCTGCCTGTGGCTTGAGTCGTGATCCCAGGGCCCTGGGATCGAGCCCCACATGGGGCTCCTTGCTCAGTAGGGAGTGTGCCTGCCACTCCCCCTGCTTGTGCTTTCTCTCAACCCCCACTCTATGTCAAATACAGAAATTAAATCTTAAAAAAAAAAAAAAAAAAGAACTGTTTCCATGAAAACTAAGTAGGTATTTAGAAAACCTCAAGTAAATCACCCCAAAAAGTGCTCACGAATTTGGGAGGCGAAGGGATCATAAAAGATTGGAGCTAGACTGCCTCACAAGATTTCTAACCATGAAAGAAAATGAAAATAAAGTTGGTAAAGAATGCATTATGGGGGGCTCCTGGGTGGCTCAATCTGTTAAGTGTCTGCCTTCGAGGACTCCCTGCTTGGCAGGGAGTCTGCTTCTCTCTCTCCCTCTGCCTGCCACTGCCCCTGCTTGTGCTCTGCTCCAAACTGAAACAAAGAAAAGTAGCAGCGAAAGTATTTACCTACCCTCCCCTTTATCTCCCCTTGGAACAAACTCATCTACCTTTCTCTCCGTTATAAATGGCTAAAAGTCAGGAGGAGGTAAGTAAGTGGCAGGAGGGAGAAGAAGAAGAAAAAAAAAGGCAGCCTTATCCTGTTTTTAGTAGTACAAGGTCTTTGGGTATCATCCAATTACACTGGTAAAACAAATATTTCTTTTTATCATTACAGATTTGCCAAATATAATTTGTTGCAATAACATGTTTGACGGTGAACTAAGAATCCTATTGAAACAGAGAACTAAAACACAATGAAGCATCCTAAAAGGAAAGAGATTCAAACTTACCAGGTCCCACTGGCATCATCCCAGGAGGAGGAGGGCCCATCATGGGCATCATGGGAGGGCCCCCCATGTGGGGCGCTGGCATCATACCAGGGCGAGGAGGACCCGCTGGAATAACAAATGGGGGCAGAGGTTAAGATATGCTTACATATTAATATTTTCTCTTCTATGAAACTAGTGGGGCATCATAGTCCAAGTCCAAGTTCTGGAACAACAGACTTCTTATGGTTTCTTTTTTATAAGAACAGAGCAGCAAACATAATTATTCCACAAAACTTTATGTCCAAAAAACAAGAATAAGACTGCCTCGACAGAAATATAAAATCAAGTCAGATTCTCCCAAGTTAAAAAAAATTCCAGAAGTTTATTTATTTATTTATTTTTTTAAATATTGTGCCTTCTGTAGAGTTTCTGTCAAACTAAAGCCACAAATACCTAATCCCAGGTCCATTTTTTAAAAAATCAAAATCTTTAAAAGATTCTTTGGAACTATGAAGATAAAGATGTATATGCAGAGATATTCTTGACAGTATAGTTTACAACAATCTGAAACAACTTAAATGTCCAACAATATGAAAATGGTGAGGTTAGTTATGGCACATTCATACTATAAATCATTCTACTATTAAAATAATGGAGTTGGGTGCCAGCCAGCCAAAATACAGACTAGGATAGAGAAGTAACCTGAGAGCCACTGTGACCCAAGGCCTGATTGGTCCCAGGATGGTGGAAGCCCAAGAAAGGTTTGGTGGGCCGTTAGTGGCTGACCTGCATTAGTGTGCAACTATATAAATAGCCTATTTCCCCATGTTTATATCCAGGGTTACTTACAAGACCAAGTTTAGGTTTCTGAATTCAATTTCAATCTGAGCCTTTTCAGGAGAGCCATGGAACTTATGGCCTAATTACTCATTCTCCTTCTGTCATTCAGAAATAAAAAACCTTCATAGAGAGGAGAGGCCTTTGATCCCTTCCACTTTCAACTGTCCGATTCTGTCTTTCCCAAGGTACATATACTGGTGTTAGGTGGGTTAGAAAATAGGAAAAACGACCAAAGAGTTTATCTACTAATTTAGTCCTCCATGTTGGGTTCACGGCAGTAAATAATGTAATGTACTCATCGATGTATTAATATTTTAGCTTACCTAATATAATAATAATAATGAGCTTCATACATGAGCTCATCTAATCACAGGTACATTATGACCTTTCCATTGAATTTGTCTCAGACCCACTTGGGAAGTCACAACACAATATCCTAGCAATAACGCTATCTAACTCTGAAGATATTTTAGAAATGATACCACTGCAGTTGTTTTCATTTACTATCTATATATTCAGTACATGAGCATTCAAAAGTCAACTGTGAGGTAATCCAACAAAATCAAAAGATAATCTGCTGCCCTGAAGTTACGTCTGTTAAGAAGAAAACTTCATAAACTTACGGAGACTGGGGGGAGGTGGGATCATTGCCCCTGCAGGAGGAGGAGCAGAGAATGGAGTAGGAGGTATCTTTCCTTGTTGAAATGCAGCGGCTTTGGATAGAGTAAGGAAAAAACAACACACAGTGAATAAGAACTCAACAACCCACTTACTAAAATAACCATTTTCTTTTAAATCATTAACCATCCCAATTATTTCACTTTACTTCATTTAAGATTATTACATCATGGCCTCTAGAAGTTTTAAATCAACCATAGGTATTCACCAGCAAAAATTACAATTAATTTGTTTACTGATTTCGGTTTTTTTTTTTTAAGATTTTTTTTTTCTTTTTTTTTTACTTGACAGAAAGAGAGAGATATCACAAGTAGGCAGAGAGAGGAGGAAGCAGGCTCACTGCCGAGCAGAGAGCCCGATGCGGGGCTTGATCCCAGGTCCCTGAGATCATGACCTGAGCCGAAGGCAGAGGCTTAACCCACTGAGCCACCCAGGTGCCCCTGATTTCGGTTTTTTAACCTATTTTTATTTAGTCAGCATTTCTGTGGCTGATATATGGGAGAATGGAATGAAGACCTCCCATTACCAATGTCTTACCAAAGAGATGCAGACATCTTTAATCTGTAGATGCTGTTCACAATTTGAACCATTCACAGTTTTGTCTGGAAATGTGTGATACCTGCCCAAAGACCAGGCTTTTTGTAAAACCTCACATCATTTTGGTTTAGTAGTTTTGAAATTAATGTACTAAGCTAAGAGACATGAAAGAGAAACAAAGATTTCAAAGCAAGAGTCTGCCCTGAAGAAGATTATAATCTTAAAAAAATGTCCAATACAATCAACTTTTTTCTTTCAGGGCACAAATGAATATGAGGCACAAATGAAGACAAAAGAAATCAAAGATAATTAATAAGTGGCTTTACAAAGAAGTCACACATAAATACTAAGATACATACTCATAGTTAACTATACTAGAACTAAAATTAAGTAAATATATAAATAAAATTTAAAAATAAAAATAAAAAGGACACTCATAAAAGCTATTCCTAAATGTATTTTCCAATTCAATGCAATCTGCAGCCTAAGGATACCCCACCTATCCCCATTCCACCCCAACCAGCGCAATGTAGGTCAAATTACGCAAGTAAATCACTGCTAACTCCTAAAGACCAGATCCAAAAAGATGACTTTTAGAAGTGGAGATTTATGCACAGCTAGCTACTCATATGCCTCTGAATAGAGCCTGTGCTCTATAGGAGATCATATCCCAACAAGGGCTTTTCCAATCAAAATGACACCTCCAACACCCCAAGCAAAAGGACAACTTGTAAAGACTGAAGAGGGGGTAGCTAAGCCATCAGCTCAACAGTGGACTCAAAGCCGACATAATCATGGACATCAACATCACATGGTGTGTCCCCGAGGACTTGCCTTCTCTCCTCCAAGTCTTCCATCAAAAACATTTACTCATCCTAAATTCTGCTGCTGCATCCACAAAATAACTAAATGGATACAGTTCTAAACTTTAATGCCAAGAAATTTCTAACATCTTTTCAAATTGAAAAAAAAGATTACATCATAATATATTTTTCTTTTTTCCAAAGATTTTATTTACTTGACACAGCACAAGCAGGGAGAGCAGCACAGGGAGAGGGAAAAGCAGGCTCCCCACTGTGCAGGGAGACTGATGTGGGGCTCGATCCTAGGACCCCAGGATCATGACCTGAGCCAAAGGCAGACACTTAACCAACTGAGCCACCCAGGTGCCTCATACAACATATTTTTTCAAATGAAACAGGACAATGTCCGAGATATGCTCCTTAATAATCCAGGATGGAGAAAGGGAGAAGATGAAGGTATTTGGTGGTTCTCAACTAAAGGCAATTTTGACCCTCTTGGGGACACTGGGCAATGCTTGGGGACATTTTTGGTTGTCATCACTGGGAAATATTATTGGCATCTGGTGGGTAGATGCCAGGGCTGCCACCGAACAGCCTACAATGCACAGGACAGCTCCACAACAAAGAATCATCTGGCCCCAAATGCCAAGAGCGCTAAGTCTGAGAACCTGGTATAAACAAAACAACACTGTTGCAACGAGGTGATGGAAATCAGAGGTGGGGGTCAGCCATAGAAGGTTCTTTCATTAACCTGTCTTCCTCCTTTTTTGGTATTTTACATAAGCTTTGTTTTCTTAAAATTGCAACACAATCAAAGCCCACATTTGCCCGCCAGCTCTGAATACAATAAATGAAAAAGGCCATGTTTAAAATACCCCAGCATGATCTAACATAGAAATGCTACATCTTCTGTCAGTGTCTTGAACTCAACTAGCCACACAAATATTTCCCAAATTAAACAAAAAGAGGGGGGCCTGGGTAGCTCAGGTGGTTAGGCATCTGACTCTTGATCTCAGCTCAGGTCTTGATCTCAGGATCATGAGTTCAAGCCCTGCATTGGGAGCCTACAGAAAACAAAACAAAACAAAAAGAGCATGGCATGTCCAACAGAGGTCTGAAACGTACTCGGGTTACTTTGTCACATCCATTACTTCCTTCTTAACCGAGTATCTTTGTCAGGACTACAGGAATAAGAAACTCAAAGTCTCTCAAACTCTTTGAAAGTAACTATAAATCCACCTCCACATTTTCCTATTATAATAGGAAAATAGTTCTAAAAACTAGGATCAGGGGTGCCTGGGTGGCTCAGTTGGTTAAGCATCTGCCTTCACCTCAGGTCATGATCCCAGAGTCCTGGGAAGCCCCACATCAGACTCCCTAATCAGTGGGGAGCCTGGGTTCTCACTCTGCCTCTGCCCCACCCCCTGCTTGTGCACTAGCGCTTTCTCTCAAATAAATAAAATCTTTAAAAAATAAAATTAAAAAAAACTTATGATCACTACAAAGGAGGTTTCACATAAGCTTGCTACAATACCTGGTCCATGTCAATAAAGAAATACTAGGCTACTCATTCTTCTCTGCCCCACTTCCCAATCTAATCAATATCTGATTGCTCTAGCCTCAATAATTACTATTGATGTGTTCGTATATTCCCTGGGAAACCAACGACCTTCTAATTCTTTCGCTGAACACATGAGAATGCTCCTATTTATCACTCAGAATGAGCTTCTTCTGTGGAAAACAACAGAGAGACAGGGATGAGAAAGAATGGGACCATTCTTCCACAACAGAACAAGAGACTGAAACGTACTTGTTTTGTCGATCAGGCTCTGAGCCTGCTCTTCCATCCATTTCTGATAGTAGTCTTTCACATTCTCTTTGTGTTTTCTACCACTGCAATGTGTCTTTCTCACAGATGGCTGTAAGACAAAAAGGTCATATTGGTCACAGAAAAAAATTCTCCAGATCAGAAATTTTATAAAGCCTTTCTTTATATATAGGTAGCCTGGCTACCTTTAGCAGCTTTAGCTGGGTGCTGAAGCAGGATTTACAAACATTATCCAACAATGCACTGTGGTCATTTATAAATAAATTTATATATTTATCATCTGACCAGAGGTCAGCAAACTATGACCCATGGGCCAGTCACCTGATTTTGTAAAACAACAGAGTGGAACACAACCACATTCATTTGTTCAGGTATTATTTATGTCCTTACTCTAGAAGTCATCGCAAAAAAAGACTATATGGTCCACAAACCTAAAATAATTACAGTCTGGCACTTGAAGGAAAAGTTTGCAAACTCCTGATCTAGAACATAATGCCATTTTAATGCCCTTTCTTAGAGTATTCTATAGCAAAATAATACAGCTTACATATATTTAAAGTATACTGTTTATGAGAATATCTTCTTTTAAATCACTATGGGTCTAGAATACAGACTATGAATCACATACAGACTTTTGTCTCTAGCTCACTAATCCTTTGGTTTTTTAACAGCTTTTCTGAGGTAAAACTGACATAAGATAAACTCCACACATTTAACCATTTGTTTAAGTTAATATTTATTTAACACTACATGCCAAACACCATGCTATGTACTTTACAAGCGGTGTCTCAATCATCCTAATAATCACATGTGCATGGTACAATGGAATATTAATCAGAAAGAACCCATCACTAATTCACTCAATTATGGATGAATCTCAAAAGGATGCTCAGGCCGCCCGGGTGGCTCAGTCAGCTACATATCTGCCTTCAGTTCAGGTATGGTGTCGGGGCCCTGGGATTGAGCCCCACATCCGGCTCCCAGCTCAGCAGGGAGTATGCTGGTCCCTCTGCCCCTCCCACCACTAGTGCTCGCTCGCTCTCTCTCTCAAATAAATCTTAAAAAAAAAAAAAAAGCACACTCAGCAAAAGAAATGAGATACACAGAGTATATACCCTAAGATTCCATTCATATGAAGTTTTAAAACCAGTTAATATTGATCTTTTGTAATAAAAACCAGATCAGTTGGGGGCTAAGGGTGCAGCGGACAGAACGTAAAAAAACACAAAGGAACTTTCTGGGGTGATGGAAATGTTCTGTATCTCATGTATATACCAAATGGTAATTATTTGCCAAATTATCAGACCATACTTAAAAGGTATGCATTTAATCGAAATATAATTCAATAAAATTGGGGCGCCTGGGTGTCTCAGTGGGTTAAGCCTCTGCCTTTGGCTCAGGTCACGATATCAGGGTCCTGGGATCGAGCCCGCATCAGGGATCTCTGCTCAGCAAGGAGTCTGCTTCCCCCTCTCTCTCTGCGTGCTGCTCTGCCTACTTGTGATCTATCAAATAAACACATAAAATCTTTAAAAATATATATATACGTATATATACAAAATTCAATAAAATTGATTTTAAAAATCACAAGCCTATTATCTTTAATTTATGCTTAAAGACTTGTCTTAAAACACATAGTTGGTAAGTAGCAAACCAAGGCCTAGAGTCCAGACCTTACTCAGATGCTCCTCATGGCTGTCTAACTACCTCCTACCAATAGAACCTCTCTTCACAGGACTGCTTCAGTAGCAGCAGACAGGACCAGTATCACATGACCACAGATTGTCTTTTCATGGTCTACATTTCAAAATACTGTTTGTTTCCTGACTCCCCAGTGACCGATTATGTAACACAACAAGGCCTTGAGCCTTTTAACAAAATCATGCCAAAAATCAGCAAAAACTCAAAAGCTGCAGTGCTGAATGTTTATTGCATTTCAAAGTCCACCACAGGGAACTGCTTCAATCACTATGGAATTTTTCTACAGGGGTTCCTGACATTTCTCAGAAACAGACATTTGTTATAAAGGGATCCTTTTCAATTCTCTGAATGTTGGCAATAGCAAGATAAGCTATAAAATAGTAAAAAAGCATTACCTACTCGCTAACAATTTTAGAAAATTATGATAAGGGGTGAAAGGGGCTAGGATCAAAAAAGCAAAACAAAACAAAATAAAAACTGGGACTCTATAGGCAAATTACTGTGATACCAACTTATTGGAGGAGTCCCATCCAGGACAATCTATAATAATATTCAAAACTATTATTCCTTCAAGAGGAGTCATCCTACTTACATATTCCACAAATTAATACTGAACATCTGGCTAGGGTTCTTGCAGCTACTATTCAAGATGCCAAGATGGTTAGGAGCTCCGGTTTAATCACATTTCTGCAGAGGCAGCCAAATACAGAGCTAGTTTTCAAGGTGTAGCTCATAGGCATCTAAGGGTGTCTCAGACACACCCTTCAGGGGGTCTGCAAGGTCAAAGTAGTTCCATAATGATGTTAAGACATACTTTCCTTTTCTACTGTATTGACATTTGCACAGATGATGTCAAACTTCTGGCACTTTAGAATGAATCAAGGCAATGGCAACCCAATGCATTAGGGGTCGTTGTATTTTTCAACACTGCACTCACGGTGGTGGGGGGGGACCAGTTTCACTGAAACTGTCCTTGATGAAGCAGCAAAATTATTAATTCTATTAAACCTCAACTCTTGAGTTCATGTCTTTTTATTTTTTTTTTAAAGATTTTATTTATTTATTCAACAGAGATCACAAGTAGGCAGAGAGGCAGGCAGAGAGAGAGGAGGAAGCAGGATCCCTGCTGCAAGAGAGCCCAATGAGGTGTTCGTTCCCAGGACTCTGGGATCATGACCTGAGCTGAAGGCAGAGGCCTTAACCCACTGAGCCACCCAGGAGTCCCCATGTCTTTTTAAAATTCTGGGTACAAAATGGGATGTAAAAAGTACTTCAGCCGCATGCCAAAATATGATGCTATTTCAAAGAAAAGCAGGACTGCAAATGGTTCAAGTTGTAAGTTCTACCAGCTGTCTCTTTGATGGAACATCATTTTTACTTGACAGACTGAGAAACAAACAGGAGATTCAGACTTCTCAGAAATAAGTGAAGTGAGCCTGTCACTTCAAAGGAAGCAATTGGTAGTATTTATTGCCAAGGATAAAATTTGAGCTTTCGAACAAAACTCAGAATTTTAGAAAACCTTATCTACTACCATGAGCTTGTCAGCTTCCCAATACTTAAAGTCCCCTTCTGATTAGATTGTGACATTAATATGAATTTTTATATTACATAATCAAATGTGTCAACACATGGAACACCTGTATGACTTGAGTGAACCAAAATTCCAATATTCATTTTCCAAATGACCAAAGCATATTACAAAATCTCGTCTGGTAAAAGATTCACTCAAAGTGCAAAGCAGATCAGTGAAATTGCCAGAGGGTGAGGAGTGGAGACAGAGAAAGGCAGAGGCAGAGAGAGAATGGGAGGGTTCAATCTTACAATCCTGAGATCATGACCTGAGCTGAAATCAAGAGTAAGGTGCTTAAATGATTGAGCTACCTATGCACCCCAGATCTGTGAATTTTGATGTAACAGAGTATGAAAAGTTTGAAACAGTTTCAGATTCCACACTGCAACTAGTTTGGATGCAGTAATATGAAGTATTAAAGAATATCCACAATTATCTAAAAAGGCTGGTTAAGTATCCTACTTTTTTTTTAACTCCTCATCCATGTGAGGTTGGATTCTTCATATAATTTAACCAAAACATAGTGCAACAAATTAAATACAGAAGAATCCATCTGTCTTCCATTAAGTCAGACATTACAAAGGCTTACAGAATGGTTAAAGCAATACCATTCTTCACAATACTTTTTTCCTTTTTGAAAATAGCTATTTTTCACTTTTAAAATGTTATTTGTATTACAAGTAAAAACTTTGTTAAAAAACTTTGTTGCGTTCAAATGAATCGATATTTTTTAAATTTTAAGTTTTAATTTCAAATACAGCAAATATTAGTAACTAAACCAATATAACTGGCATAACTCGTTTTTTTAGCACCACGCTCTAACCAGCTGAGCTAACCGGCCCACCCATAACTCGTTTTTTTAAACGACCCAGTAATTTTTAAGAGTGGAAAGAGATCATGAGACAAAGAAAGTCTGAGAGCTGCTCGTAGAGAAGCCCTGGAGTTAGACTGCTTAGGCTAACCTTCTAGCTCTGTACAACTGATTTAGTAACACACAGACAATCATTTAACCATAATCTACCTCAGTTTCCTCTTCTGCAAAACGGAGATAATACTAACCTCATAGGCTTAATATGAGCATTAAACAAAATGATACATGTAAAGCATCTGGACACATAGTAAATGCTCAATCTTGGTTGTTATTTGACAGTTTTTAATCAAATCAAAGTACAGTACTCAGTTTCAAATGTAGGCATTTCTTTCCAGTTTAATCAATAAAACGTCTGAGTGCCTTGTCCCAATCAAGTATATGAACTTTAGAACACGTCCCTGGAAACTTTTTGTGCCATAAAATTTTTTTTCACTTTCTATTTTGCTAAAGCATTATTACTTTGGTTCTCAACTGAAAACACTAATTGCTGGAAAACCAATAACTACAAATTATGAAAACAGTTACAGGAAGGATGGAGGAAAAGAAATCCAGATTATTTTCTCCAAGCAGGAGCACTTAAACCTCAACAGGATGAAAAGCACAAATTTACACCTAAAAAAAAAAAAATCTAATTTGTTAAGCACAAAGTGTTCTGAAACTGAGAAGAGAGACACTACTTACAGAGTCATGGGTGAGGTACGTGTCGCAGTAGTCACAATAAAACCTGGAAAGAGGTGGAAAACAGAGAAAAAGAGAAGACGACCACCAGTTAACAGATGCCCATCCACCGAAGTGCTGTTCAATGAAGGAAAGTTATAAAAAGACCTATTCATGTTTCCAAGACATCAGACAAAGCAATCTGACAGAAACTAGGCTTTTTTGTTGCCTTGGGCCGAGTCGACCTACCGCCACTGCAAGAGGGCAGTATCTGCAACTCCCAGGCTCCCTTCCCCACACCCTCTCCCTTCCCGGGAAATCTCAAGAGCTAGAACCCTCTCTGCACCACCCCACTGGGACACAGTTAGCGACCGTGACCGAGAACATACGCAGATTCGGGGCCCCACTCACTTAGGCATGCTGCTCTGCAGGCCGTTGCCCACTCCGACCCGCGCCGCCCGGAAATGAGGCACACAGTAAGCGCCGACGCCGCGGAACCTATGAGTCAAACGCGACTCCAGAAACCCTACCCAGTCATCCAATCCGCTTGCTGCGCTGCGCTGCGCTGCGACGGCCTTAGCCGCGGTGGCGGCCGAACGAAGGGCGGGGCTTTTCTCCCTCTCTCCTCACCTATAGCTAGGCGGAAGGCGGGGTGGGGGTGGGGGTAGGGGATGTACGAAGGACCCCTGCAAGGTTCAATCCCCGTCCCTGAAATCTCCATGCTTGATGCCGTCGGCCCCGTGTTGGTCGTTCTTTCGACAACTTTCTAAGCATTTTTGTTTGTGTGCCAGGCACTGTTAGAAATGCCGAGAGGTCAGCAGTGAACAAAACAAAGATCCCTGCCCTCATGGAGTAGGCAGTGGGAGTTGGGAAAAACAATAAAGTTAATATGTAGTCAGGTGGAGTCAAGTGCTGAGGGCGTGGGGATGAGGGAGTGAAGCAGGGAAGAGAGGAGTTCAACTTTAAATAAGAGGGAGAAAGCTTGCTGAAAAGGTGACAACTGAGAAATAATAGGTTTCTTAAAGCCAGGTGCAATCGGTTTTACGTAGCGTCTCTTTTCTGAGTCTCAACCCTAGGAGATGGTAGGATTCCCGATTTCAGGTGCCATCTCCTGCTTCCAAGTCGTGCTGCCTGAGCAAGTTATTTAATCTTTCTGAGCCTCAATTTCCTCATCTGGAAAATATGGATAATAATTCTTGTTTGTGAGGTGTAAGAAAGAATTAAATGCGAAAATGTTTGTAAGGTATATAGTGCAATGTTTGAACATACTAAGCCCTCCGCATGTGGCAGTTAATTTACATAAAGGGAAATTGATACTACTACTATCTTGTCCACAGACCTGACCTGTTTAGTAACAAGGCCAAACGTCCAGCCTGTCTATGAGACTCCAAAATGGCCTACCTCTCAGAAAAGAGAAATAGATGTTGGGAATGGAGAGGAAGAGTTTTTGATTTTTTTCTTCATATTCTCTGCTGGTGGAGTTGCAACCAAAATAATCATAATTGCTGCTTTATTTGAATGTTTACTATGTCCTAGGTGCTTTGAATGCATTAATTATTTCCTCTATTCAACAATCACTATTATTCACAATTCTGGGGCTTGGCTGGCTCAGTAGGTAGGGCACGCAACTCGTGATTTCCGGGTTGTGAGTTTGAGCCCCACCTCTGGTGTAGAGATTAGTTAAAAATAAAATCTTTAAAAAAAAAAAACCTTAAAAAAAAAGAACAATTCTATTATTCATGTTTCAAATGAAAAAACTAGCTTTCACAAGGTTAGGTGTACCACAAAGATTACTTCCTGGTCTTAAAAGTTAACTGTGCAATGAAATCATCAGGCTTTCATCATTCTAACAGTGGTAAATCTTAGCATTATAAATGGTGGGATAGTCATATTACGTGTTTCCTGCTAGGATGCCAGCGTTAAATAGACGTCATCAACTATTACCTATTTTTACCAAAAATGTTTCAACTGGATCTAATCAAGTTTATGGGATAGGCAAGAGGATCAAGCTAAAGTAAAGCAAAAGGCAGCAAACTGATTCAGAAGGTGGGATATTCTATAGGACAAATGGCCTCTTTCCTTCACGAAATCAAGAGAAAGTGTCATTCTAGATTTAAATGTTTTTAAGAGACATAACAATCAGACATAGAGTATGGTTCAGGGTTAGAGCCTAGTTTGGACAAACCAGCTCTAAAGGAAATTTTGTGGAAAATATCTGGGCCTTAATGTTGCAGTTCTAGTAACCCATCTTTGTGTAGGCACCCTGAGTTGATTCTTCTCAAAGGGGTTAGATTTGTCAACTATGTTTTTGTTTTTTCCCCCCTGATTTCCCTCTGTGCTAATATTGCGGCTGCTTTACCCTCAAAACCATTCCTCACCTTCCCCTTGCTCTTTTCAGTATGGCAGTGGGGAATGATGCCATAAAGTCTTTGTGTCTTGGACTCCTGCGCTGGTTGGATTCCAGGCTGAATTGCTGGGCAACATCTAAGGGATGCATTTCTGGAAATTAGAGAGATTAAGGAAATAGGCAGATTATTACCACCTCACCTCATCCCTAGTATCAGGCTGTCTCCTCCCACCTACCTGGCTCCAACTTCTAGCAGATGACCCTAGGCCTGATCTCTGGTAACAAGATGTCCTTCTTCTGTTCTTCCAGTAGCTTCTTGCTATTGCACGTCTCCAGGCTACTTCACTTTTCTCTGTTTCGCTGTATCTCTGCCAACCCCTATATAAAACAATTCTCTGAATTAAATTCCCTCAGTTTTAAAGACTTAGAGTTGTCTGTTTTCCAGGACTCAGAGAGTTATTTTACTTCCAAGTTCCAAAGGGTATCTCCCCTGAGTCTTGCTTATGGGCCCTGTTATCTGGAAAGAGTGCTTTTCACACATTTCCTCTGAGTGTCCCAAGAGACTGAGAGAGTTTATTTTTTACCCTCATTCCCTTAGGTCTCAAGTGAAAATCCCAAATGCCTACCTGAGCTTGACAAGCCCTTGAACTCTTATATATCTTAAAAACTCATAGTGTTTGCAAATCTACCTTATGAATAATATTTATATTTTATTTTTATTTTTATATTTTTATTTTATTTATATTTTTCAATTTCTCTTAAGATATTTTGAACTTAAAATGTATTTTGTTTATTTACTTTTGAATAACTAATAAGTACACATGGTATAAAATTAGAAAAGAACAAAAGTGTGTTCCCATATACATACCCCCTTACCAATTTCTTGCATGTTCTTCCAGAGATAGGCCACACAAATGCAAATATTAACATATGTTTCCTGAAACTATTTCCCAATACTGCACAGTATTTTATTCTATAGATGTATAGATGTACCTCAATATATTAACCAGTCTTCAGTCAATTGTTTCCTGTCTTTTGTTATGCCAGTGATGCTGAAGCATGCAGGTAACATTTATTGGTAGGATGGATTTCTAGAACTGGAATTACTAGGTTAAAGAGCTTTGCATATATCATTTTGAAAAATATTACAAAAATATCCCTGTCCTGTGATTGTATTTAAGAGTGCTTTTCCAGGGGCACCTGGGTGGCTCAGTGACCTGCTTTTGGCTCAGGTCATGATCTCAGGGTCCTAGGATCGAGCCCCACTTCGGGTTCCTTACTCAGAGGGGAGCCTGCTTCTCCCTCTCCCTGCTGCTCCCCCTGCTTGTGTTCTCTCTCTCTGACAAATAAATAAAATCTTTTTAAAAAGAGAGCTTTTTCATCTTTTCAATCTAATAAGTTAAAAGTGTTATTGTATTATAATTTTAATTTCTCTTGTAAATAAATTGAGCATTTTTTCATATGTTTCAGAGCCTTGAAGAATCTGGGGCATGTGGGTAGTTCAGGTGGTGGAGTGTGCAACTCTTGATCTCAGGGTTGTAAGTTTGATAACCCACATTGGGTGTAGAGATTACTTAAAAATTTTTAAAAATCTTGGGGCGCCTGGGTGGCTCAGTGATTTAAAGCCTCTGCTTTCAGCTCAGGTCATGATCCCAGGGTCCTGGGATCAAGCCCCGCATTGGGCTCTTTGCTTAGCAGGGAGCCTGCTTCCTCCCTTCTCTCTCTGCCTGCCTCACTGCCTACTTGTGATCTCTGTCTCTCAAATAAATGAATAAAATCTTTAAAAATTTTTTTAAAAAATCTAAAACAGAAAGAATAGGGGTACCTGGGGGGCCCAGTTGGCGAAGCATCTGCCTTCAACTCAGGTCATGATCTTGGGGTGCTGGGATCGAGCCCCGTTTCGGGGGGGTTCTCTGCTCAGCAGGGAGTCGGCTTCTCCCTCTCCCATTGCCCCTCTCCCTGCTTGTGTTCAAGCTCTCTTTATCTCTCTCAAATACATAAATTAAATCTTTTTAAAAAAAATAGTTATCTTAGTTATATGTGACAAAACCAGCTTAAACTAGCTTTGGCAAATAGTTCCTTACAGAGGCCCAGAAGCCTGGGACATCTCAGGGTAGACTTATCTCCAGGTATGGTCTCAAAATATGTTACTTGGTCTCTCTGTCTCTCCATCTCTCATCTCATCTCTGCTTGTCTGCTTCTCTGTGCACATTGGATTTGTCCTCTCACATTGCAGCCTGGCTTCCTCCCTGGCACGGGGTAGGATAGCCTCAAATACCCACCAAATTCCATTTTTCTAGAACTATAATGCCAAAAGCCAGGGAGGGGCCTGAATGGCCCGATTTGGGATAGGGATGGCTAGGAAATTGTAATAACAGTCCCACTGAAACCCCAGGGAGTGAGGCAGGAGTACCCAGGAGGTGGTGGGTGGGTGGGTACTGTTTTCAAGGAAGAAGTACAGGAAAGCATCCCGGACCAGAAATGGTGTGTACAGCAGCCACCGTTGGTCATACCTAACCCAGTTTGCAAAACCACCTCAAAGGAAATGACCAGTTTACGGTGGTAATTTCCATTGTAACCACCAGAGGACTTGAGTCCTTGGTGCCTTGGTAACCTACACTTCCCGTCCTCTCTCTCTCATCTTTCACCAATGCTAAGGACAGAAAGTAATATTCAGTTATTTAATA